CTCTAGATTTGTTTTTTGTTTTTTTATTTATGCATTTTACATCATCACATAATTAATATAAAATTTGTAGATGAGTAAATAAGATCACCAAATAAAGAAAAAGTGACTTTTTCTAAGTAAGCAAAAGGACAATAGTTTCAAATGTTTTCTTAATCTTAGTAAACATAGCTCCTTCTCCTAAAGCAATGCTATGTTTAATTACCTCTTATTTGTGAACTGTTAGAAAATAATGACACCAATCAATTCAGGGTCTCTAAGCTCTACGAATATTAATCAAGGTTTCCTCTAACAAAGACAATCTCTGGGAAATGCAGGGTAAAAGGCCAGCTTCAGAGCAAAATAATATTCTCTATTCACAATAAGGTCAGATGGGGTTTAGTAAATCCCCCTGATGTCTTCCTTTCAACAGACAAACAAGCTCAAATAGGAAAACTGAAGGTCAACTTCTTTTAGATGTAAAGTAATTACAAATGGTACATATTGTAACATGGTGTCTCAACTTTGTTGATATTACTTTAAAATAAAAGTAGTGTATGATGTGTTTATGACAATGGAATCGAAAAGCCATCAGCATTAACTTCTTGTGACTATCTACATCTCTCTCTTACATTTATGACTACCGCCTGAAGGTCTCAGACATAAGGAAGAATTTCTGTCAGTGAGGGTACTAAAAATGAGTTACTGACAAACATTATAAAAACATCTTAAAAATCTTTCAGAAAAAGCATAAATTTTCACCCACATAGATGATTTGGTATTGTTCTACCTGAAAGCAGGAACATAAAGTAGAAAACTCTTCAGGCCTCATATATTCTTGTTATTCTTTAAATTAAAAATGGCTTTTATTTTACCTTTTTTTCTTGGCCCTTAGAATCACTGTTCTCCATAACCATCCCTTTCTCTTCTGCTACACGTGAGACTTCAAATTTGCTCTGACATTATAAATAAATTTGTATTCTGACTAATTGCTTTCATGTAGTTTTTAACAAACATTGTAACTAAAATAATGCTACAATATCTGTTCAAAACTAATTAGAAACTGTTATAAAGTAAAATTTCCAAAGCCTAGCCTAAATTAGGTGAAGAAATATCATAATTTAATCATCTACATACTTACATATGTTTTGTTAATCTGCTTCCTAGATAAGGAGTTTATCTTTCACGGAAAATGCAATCGTATGTATATACTGATGTCTGCAACTCCCTTGGAAATGCATCAAAAAATAAGATGGGTTGATGGCTGGGTATAGGTGGATAAATATGTGATAAAGCAAATACAGCAAAATGTTAACTGTACAACCTAGGAGGTGGCTATATGGACACTTAAAAAATTGTTTCAAATTTCCTATGTTTAAAATTTTTCATAATAAATTATTGGGGAAAATGCAATCATATTTTGAAACTTGTTTGAAATGGCAAGGGAAAATTGTTCAAATCCCACAGAATACTTCTGCAAAAATGACTAGGCAAGACTTTGCTGCTTATATTTGTTGAGTTGGAGAGAAAAAAGATTGCTATAACTCCTTTATTTTATCTATGTACCTCTAGAAAAATCCAAAAAATTTACACTCCTGTTGAGAAATGAAGGCACATAGAAAGATTTGTTTGTTAAGAATTCAACAGTGAAAGTAAGTTCTTCTGGATGAATCTTGAAGAGTAAAAACTGAAATTACTTCTGTATCTAAAAATACAGTGTTTCAATTCCTTACCCACCCAGAATAACTTCATTTTCAGTACAAAAGCACAACTTCCTTTGGATTACTTATTCTTTTTGGCAATGCCCTTTCACTGTGACTCTACCTGAAATTATTCAAAGAAAATCTGAAAACAAAGAACAACAGGTGCATTGGAAAATTTGTTTACTTACTCAGTAGCATGTACATGAAGTATATGTAATATGTGTCACAAGTCTTTCAACACAAAGGACTTTCTAAAGTGGTACAAGCAAGGCATGTTTATGTTTGATACTCCATTAACGACTTTTGGTAGTTATCTAAAACATATCATGCCCTGCATTTCATAAATACAGGAAAATACATCATAACTCAAAGAAATTTCTCAGCTACTAGTGGATACATAATGCTCTATAAACAAACATTTTTGAATGC